CTTTCTACCATGCTGCTCTGTTTACAACTGGCTCGCAGCGACCGACGTAACGCTCTTGCGCATGCGCAGCTGTCTTGACAAGTTCTCGTTGTGATGGACGGGTACCGAAACGAGGCACCGTTTCAAATGACGTGAATCGGCGCTCGGTCGGTACTATGGAATTCGGTCGGTACCTTAAAAAGTACCAAATTCGGTACCCATCCCTGAGTGATAATCCCTCCACCAGGAAGGATTGCACTTCTACAACAGCAGGGAATATCCTTCCCTACCTTCTTCTGCAGTAAGGCCTGGACGCCACCCCTGAGCCCACTCATGACAGAGGCTCCATCATAGCACTGACTGATCCTTTCAGCTGCACTATAGCCTGAGTCAGAGAGATGCTCAAGGGTTTGGGTGGTAATAAAATCAGCATTTAACTGACTGAGGTCAACCAGACCGATCAGGTGTTCCTCTGGATGCCGTTACAGACACATCTAACCATGACTGACTGATTCTCCACGTCTGTCCCTAGTTCCATCACTTTTAATGCAAAACCAGCATCATCTGCTTTGTCATAATTATCTTTGATCTTTTTAATACCATTTTTGCCAGTGTTGCAATTATTTAGTTTTGTATTTTGTGAGATGTGTATTTTGCATTTTCTGGCATGTGTTTGTTTATTTCATTAAATTTGGAGTCGGCCATTTTTAAGAACAGTCCTGCAGAGAAGTCGTCACCGCTTTCATTTAGTGCTAGGAACTGAACTACTTCTCCAATAGTTTTTACGTAGTATCTGTTTTTCTCTATTTGTGTGGGATTTATTAATGTAAGGTGACGGAGGTGCCATTCCACCGAAGGTTATGTACCCTCTCTCCACAGATGCCTCTGACACAGTACTGCCTCAAGGTCATGCATTCGCCTCTAAAACTTTCCAGCTCAAGAGAAGAATGAAGACAAAGGACTCTTTCCTTTTAATAAATCAAAGAACTCTATTTTTAATTAAGCTAATCAAACAAAGTGTTAGTCAATAATATAATGTTGACCGATCAGTGAAATGACAATGTTATGATTAATATGCTTTAATAAGTAATATGACTTTAATCTAGTGCACTAGACATGCTGACTACATGTAATGTAAACCCACAACACATTGCTGTTACTGATCCAATCAGAACCTTCCTTTCTGAAGCGTGGCATAGTCTCTGTGGTGTTTATACATCTGCCAACTTTGATTCGACCAGAAATCAAAACATCCAGATTAATAAAACCAGTTCCCACGCCATCTTAGTTCAGTTCTCAAGATCTCACTGGAGTTCACCGCATGCTAAGAGGAGTATCGGACCGGCCATCCGGACTTCCCTTTTTTAAGGAAAAAACCAACAAGCTGGATAAAATCTGTTGCATTTTACCAACCAAGCAACGGTTCCTTTCAGAATAAAAGCTGAACTCACTGACCCAAAGGGGGTCCATCTGACGCTGTCAACCACCTGTCGCTTTTTACCTGGAGACAATCCAAAGACTAGTTTGTCGTACTGCTGACGCTGTTGTTTCCTCTGTGTTCACTCTTTGGGACATTTCAGACCAGCTTTTTCATTTTTTATGTGGCAATGACTTGATGCGTGCTTTGTGAATCCCTTGTCCTTTTCCAGTGCTGTTTTCCAATTATTAAATCATTTTTTTGTGAAAGCCAAATCCCGATCATTGTTCCCCCCAAATGTGCAACATGGGAAACAAAAGCACGCATCCAGCTTTACTGAATATTCCAGCCATGGTCTCCCACGATACCAGGCAGGGCAAAATGAGCACATGTTCTTCCCAAAATGGCGCTTGGGGAAAACAAGAGCGGTGGGTTGGGACGGTGCGCTACTGTTCAGGGCTGTGTCACCCACCGCGACGGCTGGGTTGGTAGCGACGGGGCCAGCAGGAGGGGCTGCAGTGCTCGTGCAACTGGTTGTTCCAGTACTGCCCTGATCACGGGGGGTTGTAGCGAGTTGAGAAGCACCGACGAGCCAGCTTCTGCCGCTAGTGCCTTAGCACTGTTGCTAGGTATAGAAACCAGAAACCTGCGCATGTTGACTCGGTTCACTTCAAAAACAAATGAAAGAAGAGAACAAGGCAAACTAAAACCTTGAGAAAGAGTACCAAATGATTCCAGTGACCGACAGAAGAAGAAAACCTCTACCAGCGGCTGAGCTCAGATAACAACAGTGCGTCTGTGTTCTGCTGCTGACTGTCTGGGAGCGTGTGAAGCAAGTGAGACACAGGGAACGAAGTGCAGTGGCTGGCCACACCCTCCCTATGCATCTACCAATCAGCAGCTACTTCGAATGAGGGGGGGAGGGGGAGAGAGAGAGAGAGAGAGAGAAAGAGAAAGAGAAAGAGAAGAGAGAGAGAGAGAGAGAGAGAGAGAAAGAGAAAGAGAAAGAGAAAGAGAAAGAGAAAGAGAAAGAGAGAGAGAGAGAGAGAGAGAGAGAGAGAGAGAGAGAGAGAGAGAGAGGAGAGCACTCTGACCCTTTTTTATCAAATCTTTTCAAATTTGGAATTTCTACATGTCATCATATTTGGGGGGGGGGGGGGGGGGGGGGGGTTGCTATTATTAGGGGGGCATTGCCCCTCCTTGCCCATGCCTGCATCCGGGCCTGACCTTAACAAATGTAATCTGACCTGACCTTGCTTGTTGCCCAAAACCAACCCTGAGTTCAGGACAAAGGAATTAGAAACTGGATCGGGTCGCGCTCAGAGGATCTGCACAGGAATGAAAATGCCTTCTTCATTTAGAGCAAACTGAGGAAATAATCATTTTAGTCACTTGGATGATATTGTCTCTGATGCGGTGCAGCTGGAGACAACATTTTCAACTTTAGATCATAAATCAGATCATGTTTTCTTTTCAGTGAACATTAGGAAGATCTGAATGAACAGAAAAGGAGAAAAATGTGATGAACAACTTGTTTGATGTTATTTTTTATCAAAATGTTTAAATTTTTTTCTTTTCTCTTTTTAACAATATATATATATATTTTGTATTTTTTTTCTGCATTTAATTTTTTTCTTCTCATGAAGCACCTCGTGATTTTTATATTGAGAGGCACTATATAAAAGTTTGTTTTCTTTACTTCTTCAGGCAAAGTTTTATTACAATGGAATTTTTTTTCCCCAGACTTATTTAATATTAAGTTTTTAGACCCATTGAAGATTTTAGGTTTCCTTTTCCATAATGCAGCCCCTCCCTTACCCACCAACTGATTTTTACATGTTTGAGGTTTGTGTTTGAAATGGTATCACATTATAAAAAAACATTTTTCAAGTAGTTGCTCAAAAATGTGTTTTCCTAAAATTGATGTCAATAAAAACTAAAGTCAGGTGTGAGAATTGGAAGTGGTCAGGAAGGTTGGACAGAATAAAGTATTATAATTCCAAAAGCCAAGATCCTCCTATAGGAGCAGGCTTTCAGGAGGTACAATAATCTCTCTTTCATCATGCAGAGTTTCAGACTTTCATCATTCTGAACACTGATAATTAATTCTACATTGGGCTATCAACAAATGTCTTTCTTTTCTTAAAGGATATTCTATCTTCTGTAAGCATCCGTTTGCAATGATTCCCGTTAAAAATCCTTTTCAAAATCAGTTTCCCTCCCACCTCACTTGAAAATAGGGGTTGTATGAACTAGTCGACTAGTCGACCTCACTGCTCTGTAGTGACTTGTTATGCCTGTCATCGACTAGTCGCTTTCACGTGATAATGACCGACAAGATGCAGTCCTCGGAAAAGACAGCAGGTGATGAGTCCCTGCGCGTCGGGATCAAGGCGGAGGCAACGCGCTGTGCCAGAGCGTCGGTACTGACGCCCGCCGTAAAACGGACATTAAACCAATTTGTGACCTTTACCCTCTTGCAACTTAACATTCCCCTCACCCCCATCCTAACCTTAACCAGCTTGCGCATGCAAAGCTCTGATTGTTGACGAGCTCCAGACATCTGCGTCCTGAGCACGACCACAGTAACATTATCAAATCAGGTGTCACCACTCAAAATCAAATATAACGCGATCGTTCATGTCGGCTCATTTCCTTTTATGTTTTCTGTCTTTTATTTGTGCCTGATGAGTTTCGCTGCTGTGGAGAGGGGCGCATCACCTGTTTTGTCCTCCGGTGACGCACCTCACTGATGCGGCCGGCGAGCACTCCGCTGTTTTAGCGGTCGGTAGATCTTTTAGAACTGCAGTTGAAAGGTAACTCATGAGGTGAATATATATGAACCCAGGTAGCAGTTTCTCTTTAGGATTGAGAGGAGATGCAGGAAGATAATAAACAGGCAGGACAGAAAAATAGTCAAATAAAAACAAGTTAGTTTTTGTACCTGCTGGTTGCAACAAACAGACACCATTGAAGGTAATCAGAAGTGAGGAACAGAAAATGAAATAATTATTTTAATGTTTAGAGCAGCAGGAACTCCGAGAGGCTGCAGGTGCATCAGTGAGTTTGCGGCCGCTGCGCAGGGGGAGGGGGGAGAGGACTGAAGCAGGGGGAGGGGGGAGAGGGCTGAAGCAGAAACTACCGTTGTTAAAAGGAATGTGTTTAACTTTGAAAATGTGGGCGCAATTTTAATTGTCAAAAACTCCAGCGAACCAACCGACCCCGCTTCAGGTGTATGACATCATCAACGACTAGTCGAAGTCAACTCGATTTTCATTAGTTGACAGTCGACTTTAAAAAAAATTAAGTCATGCAACCCCTAGTGTGTGTGTGTGTGTGTGTGTGTGTGTGTGTGTGCATGGATGGGCATGTGCATGACTGAGCTCCCAGCTTGTGAGTTTTGTGTGTAGGGAGGGGCAGGCGCTCGATGTTACTGGCCAGTCACAGAGCATTAAGACAGTCAGTTACCCAATGAGGATTTTCCTTCAGCACGATTACAGATATTTACGAGTTTTACGCGTTTCACGCCCGTAGTCGTCAAAAATGCTCGTTTCAGACGAGTTTCCGGCTCATTCCTAGTAAAGAGCTACGGAGATGAGCTCACCTGAAGCCGGGGACGTGCAGGGTGAGGATGAGGTAATCGTTATCCGAACTGCCTGCTCCGCTCTGCACATGGTCTCCTGCAACTTCCCACCCTGTTGGACAACAGACCTGAGGAATTACACCCCACCCAGCAGCACCTGCACCTGAATGAATATTAACGTCATGTGGGCAGAAAACGAGTGTCACACACTGATGGTCATGAGTTGTGGCTATAGCTGACCAACACACCAAAGCCGAGTACTTACGGGTCACAATAATCATGAACAGAACATGAAACATACATAACTTTATTAAGATGAACTAAATATTTATATTTTTGTAGAACAATTTGAAAATCTTGGTAGATGTGAGAAAAAAAGAGAGTCTCGGACAGGTAAACATAAAGCATAACTGGATCTGATGGATTTCTTATGTCATGTTTTTTGGATTCATTCAGAGTTTATTAACGGAGCTCACAAGTTCAATTTTTATTAAATGTCAGTGAGGGTTTGTGCTCCCAGATACTTCCAGGAAAACCACTTAAAAGCAAAATAAATAAACAAATAAATGATTAGTAAAGGACAAATGCTTTGGATTTGACTTCAACTTTTAAGATTTCAATGTTTTTGCATGAAATTTTTGGCCTCAGATTAATAAAAAAATGGGAATATTTTAATTAAAATTAGACCAGTTTTTAAATCAACATCCAGTTTTTGTCTAGCCTGGCCAGACATGCCAAGGCTTCCTTCTGTGTAGAACAGACAGCCAGGCTAGTTCTTGTCATCTCCTGACCATACGGTTGAATCTAGTACTTTCTGCCACAACTGCATGTAGATGTAGCAATCCCATCTATTCTGAAGGGGTAAGTGTCAGAACCGCTTTGATAGAGTGCATACACGACATTCTTCAGTTAGCCTCTAGACACGCGAGGCTAGCAGCTGGGAATGAACATCTGAAGATGAATCATGCCTGGTACTAAGATCCAGGTAGTAAAGACCAGGGCGGGGAGTGGGAAAGCATCCAAGGGTAATCCGATTTTGGCTCACTGTCCCGGGGATAACTTTTTGCCATCGGCCGCCAAATTCCTCTGGTTCTGCCTTCCCCTACTAACCTGCCGACTATCATCGACTTCTCCTTACAACGCTCCCCGCTGACACAGCCTTTTCTGTTACCTGAATTGAAGACGGTAGCAAATAATAGTAAATAAATAGGCTTAAACGTCACGGGGGTGTGCATTTTGCTGACTGCAGTTCCTCTAATGGCCACACGGTGTGCTCTCTGCAGCACTCTCTGGAAACTCTGCAGAGCAGCTTTAACAGTCTTGACTGAATTACAGTAAAAGGCCTTATAAAACCAGGATTCAGGACGATCTTCAAGGCACTCGAGGAGTACAGACGCTTCTCTTTCGCTCCCTTATCTTTTTTTCCCCAAGGCTCTTTGTCCTGTCTGCCCACAGAGCGCTTCTCTGCATTTCTTCTGAAAAACCCTATTTTTACTAACCATGGATTTGATAAACTGGTCATTCAATGCGATTGATAAGATTTTTTCAACAATGAGAACGGAGCAGGGGGCTCCCGCATGTCCACAGGGGACACACCCGGTGGGATATAGGATGGATTCCTGGAGGGAGTGGAAGATCGTATGCCTCTCCCAGCTGTCCATTGAGGATATCGAAGACGTGTGGATATTCAGCCTGATGATCACTGGATCTCTCCTGATTGGAGTGGGAGGATATCTGGTTTTCTGGAAATTTGGGAAGACGGGAGCGATTGGAGGGCGACCCGCACCCACGGAAAGCACCGTCCGTGTGGAGACTTCTCAGACTGGGACGTTACTCGAGGTGAATCGTAAGCTGGACAATGTTCTAGCTGCGATACCGGTATTAGTGCGCAAAATGGATGTCATCTCGGAGAGAGTCACCGGACGGTATGGACAGGTTTAAAAACCCAAAATTGGCTTCACTGAAGGACTGGAATGATCAGTTTAAAGACTGAAGGCAGAGAGGAAAATTATCTCAGCCTGACCCAAACAAATTCTTGTTATCTGAATCTGACGCCCTGGTAGCCTTGAGCAGCGAGCAACAAACCCCCACGAAGGAATACAGACAGATGCTGTGAAAACCCGACCCCCCCCACCCCCCCACCCCCACCTTCGGATTGGTGGACTTCAGCCTGGCGAGGTCATCAATCTGCAGGAGTCAATGTGCTCTCTTTGCTTCTCCCAATATCTCCCTCCCACCAGCACCGTAGATGGCTGCTCTCGCTGGGGGAAACAGGATCCCAGCCCCCCACCCCCCACCCCTGCCTGTTGTGTTGTCTGAAGTCTGTTGCACATTTGTTGAGGTGTTTTTTTTTGCAGAGCAAAGCTGCTCTGAAGTGCCTTTTTTTCCCTCCACCTGAACCAATCCTCATGTAACCCTCTTATCTCTATTAAGGTAGCGCGACTCGGGTTGCGAATGACCACAGTCACCAATTCTCGTCATGTGTCTTGCCCATGCATGTCTGATCTCTGAATTGTGTGTACTGAAACTCTAATTTCCCTCTGGTATTAATAAAGTATTGATTGATTGATTGATTGATTGATTGATTGATTGATTAAACGCTGGACACCCCACCCCTGCCCGCTCTAACGCTTGTGTATTTTAAAGGATCTCAGTACTTATTCTACTTTTTCAGTTACTTTTTTACTGTAGTGTCAAAATAACACATAAACCTAAAGTTAAGCAGGCATTCATGCGCTCACCGTTCATGTCATCACATTTGGAGTTCCCCACGTTGAAACAGGAAGTCTTCATGTTGGATGGCAGCACGTTCCACCATTTATACTCGTAGCCCTGAACTGGTTCGGTTCCTGCAGGGCACTCGGCACACGCTGAAACACACCCACAGATCACAGCAAACTATTGTTGAGCTGCACGACCTTCATAACAATATGGTGCACGCTAATACAGGCCATTTACCATCAATGAGAATACGATGCTTGAACAAGAAATGTCTGCCTAATGCAGGATTCTCCAGCTGTTCCAACATTTTACTGCATTTTTTTGTCTGAGAGGAGAAACAGCAGCTGACTCTAATAAGCCATACTAAGTTGGTATTTAACCCTTTAAAGCCTGAAATGTGAACTACAATTATTTAATGTTAAAATAACAACTATATAATAATCTGTCTTGCTGTATTATGTAATTCTGTTAACGTATACCACATCCTCCACCAGGGGGCAGTAGACTGTATATGGGAGGTTTCGGATGAAGGTACTAATCATGAGCCAAAAGGGTTCAAATGAAGGCAACTGGACTTCTTCGGTTTCTTGAAGAGGTTTTGCTTTGTCAATCCCGATTCTATGGGAGAGTGAAGCTTAAAAGCTGTAGCTGCCTGTTGTTGTTAAATGAGCAGAAACTACTCTGAATACCCCTTCTCTCTACCTCAGAGCAGAAAAGTCCCACAGAAGAACGTTTGGAACATGAAGTGATATTGAAAGGTGTCCGACCCTGAGGTGGAGCAGATTTGAATGGTAGTTTAATTTCACTAAGATAAAGACAATAAAATAATCTCTTACCAAATATTTACTAAGAGATCACAATGTAGCAATAGAAACACTACTGTGTGTGTGTGTGTGTGTGTGTGTGTGTGTGTGTGTGTGTGTGTGCGCGCTCTGTCTTCTCCATCCCCAGTGAGTCGTGGAGGATGGCTGCTTATACTGAGCCAGGATTCTCTGGAGGTTTCTTCCTGTTAAAAGGGAGTTTTCCTCTCCACTGTCGCTAAACTCTTGCTTAGTATGAGCATTGCTGTAAAGACTCTGACACTAGTCAGTGACTCGATGCAACCTGCTGGGTTCCTTATGTAGGAAACTTTTTATGAACTCAACTGTGTTGATATGTTTACTTTGCAAAGTGCCTTGAGTCGACTCTTGTCCTGATTTGGCGCTTTATAAATAAACTGAATGGAATTTACCGTAGGTTCCATCAGAATGGGTTCCAGGTGGGCATGGCAGACAGGTGGAGTCGTTGCTGTTGTAGTAGCCGGGGTTGCACGGTGGGCAGGGTTCTCTCTGTCCTGTTGCAGGCAGCTGGACGGCCCCTGCAACATTCTCCACACAGATCTTCGGCTCCACCCAGCGATACAGCACCTGAGTCTGTGAGAAAGAGGCAGGCATGCGACGTTTTTGTGCATTAAACAGATTGGTGCGTGAAACGTGAACAAAGAAAGACTGACCTTTCCTTCGCTGTCGCAGGCCATGTGGATCTGGAAGTAATCCCTCTCTGAGCACGGCGGTCTCACCTTACATTCTGCCCATCCCTCTTCTGAAAGCAGATGCAATCACATAATCCACCGCAGCGCAGCATCGCCACACAAATACCTGCAGGTGAATCACTGGATGCTGCAACAAACTGTCAGGTGATTTATTTCCTTCAAACAGGAAGTCAAAACAAGCTGGAAGTTACTTTTTTTAGGTTTAAAAAAAAAATCCCACCAGGCATGTTTCTGAAAGCGAGAGTTAGAGATCAGAGTGTTTCCAGGGATACGAGTTTGTGTTGGACATCTCTGATTTGCATAAAGGAGCCTCGACCTCGGACACAAACGATCAGCATATGCGCTGCAGCTTTTTACAGACACCGTATAAAATAGCAAAACGAGCTACGCGGAAGAAATGCTTTTAAATAGAAAAACAAAGGGCCTTTTGAATATGATTCCTAACCTTCAGAAACACTTACAACATTTGTGGACAGTTAAAGCAGACATACTATGCAAATTCTGACTTTTGCATCCTTTTGTGTTGCCATGTGGGTCTCTACTGCCTCTATAAACACTCCAAACATGAATCAAACCATCTATCCATTTTCTGTCCGTGTTTGATTTTTACGAATAATAGGCCTGAAATGAGCTAGTTCAAAAAGTCCCTGATTGTGATGTCACAAAAAGGGACATTAGCATAGACCCCACCACCACCACCACACACACACACACCACACCACATGAAGTAGCATCCCACCTAAACTGTGGAGAATCTGACAGACTTTTGTTTGTTCTTTGCTGAAATTCTCATTAACAACGTGAACTAAAATGAATCTATAATATGTAATAACCTATCTATGTTTTATGTTTATGTATTTAGCAGACGCTTTTGTCCAAAGCGACTTACAAGTGATAATCGGCATGTTGCCCTTGAGGCTAACAACAACAATAACAACAACAACTAACAATTTCCAGTCAGTCGTAGGTGGCAGTGAGGCAGCATGATGAATCATGGAGAGGAGGGAACAAGGAGTGGACAGTAGAGAGGGGGGACGGGTGCAGGGAAGGTGCTAGTTTAGAAGATGCTCTCTGAAGAGCAGGGTCTTCAGGAGTTTCTTGAAAATTGAAAAGGAAGCCGCTGTTCTGGTAGTGCTTGGAAGGTCATTCCACATTTGTGGAACGATGCATGAGAAGAGTCTGGATTGTCCTGAGCGTGGTGTAGGCACTGCTAGCCGACGATCCTGTGATGACCGGAGCGGCCGGGCCGAGACTTAAGTCTTTGCAAGAGGATTCAGGTAGATGGGAGCCATACCATCTCGGACTTTGTATGCTAGTGTTAGCGATTTGAATTTGATGCGTGCAGCTAGCGGTAGCCAGTGGAGCTCAATGAACAGAGGGGTGACGTGTGCTCTTTTTGGCTGATTGAAGACCAGACGCGCCGCTGCGTTCTGGACCATTTGAAGAGGTCTCACAGTTCAGCCTGGAAGACCAGTTAGAAGGGCATTGCAGTAATCGAGGCGGGAGATGACAGTAGATTGCACCAGGAGCTGGGTGGCATGTTGTGTTAGGTATGGTCTGATCTTTCGTATGTTATACAGCGCAAAGCGGCATGAACGAGCAACAGAGGCAACATGATCTTTAAAGGTCAGGTGTTCATCAATCACAACACCCAGATTTCGAACTGCCTTTGAAGGAGCCAGAGACAGGAAGTCATTTTGGATTGAGATATTGTGCTGTATGGATGGTTTTGCTGGGATGACAAGTAGTTCAGTTTTAGAGAGGTTGAGTTGGAGATGGTGGGATTTCATCCATTTTGATATGTCAGAGAGACAGTTTGATATTCGTGCAGAGACAGTGTGGTCGTCCGGTGGAAATGACAGATAGAGCTGGGTGTCGTCTGCATAGCAGTGGTAGGAGAAGCCATGTGATCGAATGATCTCACCCAGTGAGGTGGTGTATATGGCAAAGAGAAGAGGTCCTAGTACAGAGCCCTGGGGGACTCCTGTGGCAAGATGGTGCAGGTAGAGGATTGTCCAAGCCAAGATACACTGAATGATCGTCCTGTGAGGTACGATTAAAACCAGGCGTGTGCTTTCTCTGTGATGCCCATGCTAGAGAGTGTGGACAAAAGGAAGCCATGGTTGACAGTGTCAAATGCAGCCGATAAGTCGAGCAGGATAAGCACTGAGGATTTGCCTGTCGCTCTAGCTTCTTTTAAGCATTCAGTCACTGCTAACAGAGCAGTTTCAGTGGAGTGGCCCTTTTTGAACCCAGATTGGTAAGGGCCAAGCAGACAGTTTTGTGAGAGGTATTCTGTGATCTGCTTGAAAGCCACCCTTTCAATGATTTTGGACAGAAAAGGGAGGAGCGAGATAGGTCAGTAGTTCTCCACATGATTTGGAGGAAGAGATGGGTTTTTTTTTTTAGCAGCGGTTTAACCTGAGCATGCTTGAGAGAGGTGGGAAATGTACCGGATGTCAGTGAAGTGTTGATCACATGTGTGACTGCTGCGGCTACTGTAGGAGCAATAGCTTGGAGCAGCTTAGTCGGAATGGGGTCCAGTGGGCATGTAGTAGGGCGGCTGCACTTGAGAAGCTTGGACACACAGTTCTCAGTGAAAGGGGAACAAGAGGAAAATGAAGCAGTAGGGCTTGAGATGGTTGGGCTAGAAGGAGTTTATGGTAGGGAATGTTCAGGAGTGGCCAGTTGAGTAAACGGTTTGCTTATTGCTGCCACTTTGTCAGTGAAGAATGAGGCAAAGGTCAGCTGATAGATTGTTGGTAGGAGGTGGAGATGGAGGGGTGAGCAGAGTTTTGAATGTTGAAAATAGTTTCTGAGAGTCAGTAGAGCTGAGAATTTTGTCAGTGTAGAAAGCTTTCTTTGCATCAGTGATGCTGGCAGAGAATGAGGACAGTAATTCATGAAATTTCAATAGATCACCAGGATCTTTTGTTTTGCACCATTTCCGTTCCGCAGCTCTAAGACTGGTGCATAGAGACTGGAGGGTATCATTTAGCCAAGGGTGCGACTGAGAGGATCTAGCAGGTTTAGTGGCTAAAGGGCACAAGTTGTTAAGACAAGAGCAGAGTGTGGAGCAGAGTGACTCGGTGGCTTCATTCACTTCATAAGCAGAGAATGTGCTGGGAGACGGAAGAGTGGAGGCAACGAGAGAGGAGAAGTGGTTGGGTGCCAGATTGCGGAGGTTGCGGTGGAATGAGACCACTGGGGAGGAAGCAGTGGACCTCCCTTGTAGAGTCGTGCTGAAATGGATGAAGTAATGATCGGAAAGATGCAGCGGTGTGACAGAGATTGTGTCTACGGCACAGTTTCTACTGAAAATGAGGTCAAGTGCTTTTCCAGCTTTGAGAGTTGGAGGACTTTGTACTAGTTTTAGATCGAATGATGACATTAGTGACAGGAAGCCTGATGAGCTGGGATTGTCCAGGTGAATATTCACGTCTCCAAGGACCATTGTGGGACAGTCGTGCTCAGGAATGGAGGATAGCAGGGTGTCGAGTTCATCAAGAAAGTCTCTGAGTTGACCTGGTTGTCGATATATGACAACCAAAAAGAATTTTTTCGGTACAGTTACCTGGATGGCATGGTATTCAAAGGAGTTGTATTTAGTGATGGTAGCAACCGACTGTATATTCATTTATTGGAAATTAACATGCCCGTTCCACCACCTCGGCCAGATGCACGAGAAGTGTGGGAGAAAGTGTGGTTAACTGAGAGAGCAGATGGGGTAGCATTGTCACATGGTTTCATCCAGGTCCCAGTGAGAGCTTACTACCGGCAATGCGGACCAAGCTCTGACAACGGTCATACAGGGACCTAATGGCCTGTATCAGAGGGCCTGGTACCCCATACTCCCGGAGTACCCCCCCACAGGGCCCCCTGAGGGACACGGTCAAACGCCTTCTCCAAATCCACAAAACACATGTAGACTGGTTGAGCAAATTCCTACGCACCCTCCAGGATCCCCCTAAGGGTATAGAGCTGGTCCAGGGCTCCACGGCCAGGATGAAAACCACATTGCTCCTCCTGAATCTGAGGTTCAACAATCCAACAGACCCTCCTCTCCAGAATCCCTGAATAGACCTTACCAGGAAGGCTCAGGAGTGTGATCCCCTTGTAGTTGGAACACACCCTGCGGTCCCCCTTTTTAAATAAGGGGACCACCATCCCAGTCTGCCAGTCAAGTGGGACTGCCCCCGATGTCCATGTGATATTGCAGAGCCACGTCAGCCAACACAGCCCCACAACATCCAGAGCCTTAAGGAACTCCGGGCGGATCTCATCCAACCCTGGAGCCTTGCCACAGAGGAGCTTTTTAACCACCTCAGAGACCTCAGCACCAGAGATTTGAGAGGCCAACTCAAAGTCCCCAGACTCTGCTTCCTCACTGGAAGACGTGTCGGTGGGATTGAGGAGGTCTTCGAAGTATTCTGCCCACCGATCCACAACGTCCTGAGTAGAGGTCAGCAGCACACCATCCCCACGGGGCGACGGTGGCACAGGAGTTAAGTGCTCGCCTCGCAATCGGAAGGTCGCAGGTTCGAGACCCGCTCAGTCTGTCGCTGTTGTTGTGTCCTTGGGCAAGACACTTAACCCACATTGCCTGCTGGTGGTGGTCGGAGGGACCGGTGGCGCCAGTGCTCGGCAGCCTCGCCTCTGTCAGTGCGCCCCAGGGCAGCTGTGGCTACATTGTAGCTCATCCCCACCAGCGTGTGAATGTGTGTGTGAATGGGTGAATGACTGATTGTGTTGTAAAGCGCCTTGGGGGGTTCCAGGACTCTAGAAGGCGCTATATCAAATACAGGCCATTTACCATTTTACCATTTAGTGTTGGTAGCGCACTGCTTTCCCCCCTGAGGCGCCGGACGGTGGACCAGAATCTCCTCAAAGCCGTACAGAAGTCTTGCTCCATGATTTCACCAAACTCCACCCATGCCCGGGTTCTTGCCTTGGTGACCACCCGAGCCACGTTCCGCTTGGACTGCCGGTACCCGTCAGCTGCCTCTGGAGTCCCACAGGCCAAAAAGACCTGATAGGACTCTTTCTTCAGTTTGACAGCATCCCTAACCGCCGGTGTCCACCAGCGGGTTCGGGGGTTACCAACACGACAGGCACCGACGATCCTGCGACCACAGCTCCGGTCGGCCACCTCAACAATGGAGGCACGGAACAAGGTCCATTTAGACTCAATGGCCCCCGCCTCCCCCGGAACATTTGGGAAGTTCTGTCAGAGGTGGGAATTGAAGCTCCTTCTGACAGGAGACTCTGCCAGACGTTCCCAGCAAACCCTCGCGATACGTTTGGGCCTGCCTGGTCTGACCGGCATCCTCCCCCACCATCTGAGCCAACTCACCACCAGGTAGTAGTCAGTTGACAGCTCCGCCCCTCTCTTCACCCAAGTGTCCAAGACATGCGGCCACAAGTCAGATGAAACAACAACAAAGTCGATCATTGAGCTGTGGCCTAAGGTATCCTGGTGCCAAGAGCCGTTCCTCCCAACCACACCTCTCCAGGTCTCACTGTCGTTGCCCACGTGAGCGTTAAAGTCCCCCAGCAGAACGAGGGAGTCACCAGAAGGAGCGCTTTCCAGCACCCCCTCCAAGGTCTCCAAAAAGGGTGGGTAGTCTGAACTGTAGTTTGGTGCAAAAGCACAGACCACAGTCAGAACCCGTCCCCCCACACTTAGGCGGAGGGAGGCTACCCTCTCATTCACCGGGGAAAACCCCAACGTACAGGCACCAAGATGGGGGCCAACTAGTTTGCCCACCCCTGCTCAGCGCCTCTCAGTGGGAGCAACTCCAGAGTGGTAGAAAGTCCAACCCCTCTCAAGGAAACTGGTTCCAGATCCAGTGCCATGCATTGAGGTGAGTCTGACTATATCTAGTCGGAACCTCTCAACCTCACACACCAACTCAGGCTCCTTCCCCACCAGAGAGGTGACATTCCATGTGCCAAGAGCCAGCTTCTGTAGCCAAGGATCGACCGCCAAGGTCCCCGCCCTCGACTACCACCCGTCACACACTGCAACCGACCCCTTTGGCCCCTCCCACGAGTGGTGAGCCCATGGGAAGGGGGACCCACGTTTCCTCTTCGGGCTGTGCCCGGCCGGGCTCCATGGGTGAAAGCCCGGACACCAGGCGCTCGCCAACATGCCCCACCTCCAGGCCTGGCTCCAGAGGGGGTCCCAGTGACCCACGTCCGGGCGAGGGAACACGGTTTCCATTTATATAATTCATCATAAGAGGTCTTCAGGCTGTACTTTGTCTGATCCCTCACCTAGTGGTAAATTCAGTCAATGGTAAATGTCTTGTGTTTGTATAGCATCTTTTTCTAGGGGTTTATAACCTCCCAAACCGTTTCATAACACAATCAGTCATTCATCCATTCACACTTTGGTGGTGATGAGCTACATTGTTGCCACAGCTGCCCTGGGGCAGACTGACAGAAACGAAGCTGCCAAACACAAGCAAGGAGGGTTAGGTGTTTTGCTTAAGGACACAACGACTGCAACAGATTGAGCGGGGCTCAATCCCGCAACCCTCCAGTTATGAGAAGGGCACTTAATGTCTCTGCCAGCATCATTCCACCATCTATGTGAGGCGGAGGGAGACACAGAACCAGTACATCTCTCATTCTTTCCCAATTATTCGTGACAACATTTAAGCTAGTGCGTTTCTCGTGTATTTACGTGAGAAGTGGTGTTGAGGGCAGGGTGTGCACGAGGACGCTCCCTTCCCTGAGTACGTGTTACTGGGACACGGTTGGCAGGACGAGGAGCCAGGAATTGGGCTGAACCATCCGGGTCGACATGGAAAACACTCCGATGTGTAGGCCACACCTGCAGCAACACACACTCCAATGAGCTGAACTGGAATGTCTGGTTAGCGTCTGCGTCCTGGGTTGAGCCGTACCTTCGATCTGGATATTCTTCAGCAGCACCGGTTTGACCATCTTCCCTCCCACTAAAATCCCAGTTGTTCTCCAGTACAGGATGTTTGTTCCTGACTTCAGGCTCACCTGGAACAAAGACTGACACGTTGAAACCAAACAACGACACCCTGCTCACACAAACAGGCAGAAGCTCACCGAGTGCGTGCCCCACTCTCCACTGCTGGTGACTTTAATCCACTTCTGGTCATCAGTCTGGACCATTTCCTGGCACTGCTCATTCTGGACCTGGGCACAAAAGCCGCCGTCAGATCCAATCAGAAAGCTCATTTTTAGGGTGCATTGTTGTTTCTTACATAGAACTCAAAGAAGATGTTGCTGTCAGGATACTGGTAGGTGAAGGCTACAGATCCCTGTTTCTCCAGGTGGACCGCGTAGATTAGAGACACAGTGCACTCATCGCGGTTAGACTCCAGATATACACCCTGCGGCGTCCACGCTGAGCTGGAATAACAACAAATCCTGTGACTGTGTGATCCTTATGGGTTTTTATCACCATCTGAGTAAATCTGCACCTGTTGCAAGGCTGAATATCCTCTCCGTTCGGACCAGGATCCAGGAAGCTGGCCAGGCTGGTGAAGCCTGCAGGAATAGCGTCCCATTGGTCGAACCGCAGCCCGCTGCCAAGGGAGTATGAGCCGGCTGCACACGGCGTGCACGTCTGTGTGGACATCTCTAAGAACATCCCAGCTGGACAGGAGAAGGCTGAAGGAAACAGAGGTTATATTTTAGCACACATGAGGTGTGAATAGGGACAATCTGTCTGCACTCACAGCAGTCGGTTCCTCTAGTGGGAGGAGGGAGGCTGGAGCAGGAGCTTGGACTGAAAGGGATGGCGACCCTCCATCGAGACCCCGTGCTGTCACACTCTGTGTACTGGTAGTAGAAGTCTCTCTGGAGAAGGCACGAACACAGAGGCAGGATTTATTTCCCCCTATTTATTCAAGTTTAATTACTGAGAGGAAATCACTGCTCATGAAAATGTCCAACAACCCTCTACCCGTATGCGTAACGCAGCAAGAAGTAAACAGTGAAAACATCATTTTATACACCTTGTTAAAATAACAACACTACATGGTTGAGTGCTAAACAAGAGGCTGACCCCAGTCACCACGGCAACAAGCCACTGGAGGACTAATGGGTCCAAGAAGGCAGGTCAGTTTTCGTCCTTTTTGTTTTGTTTTCAAGGACAGCTGGTTGCTGAATTACACTTATTGGTCAGAAACGTCCACATAGATGAACTTCAGTCAAAGCTTTTAGTACACATATGTCAGAGTCAAGGCCCGCGGGCCAGATGCGGCCCGCAGAGCATTTTTATGTGGCCCGCGAGATAAATATCAAAAATATATTAAAACTGGCCCGCTGGCCGATTTTACCGCAAAGACTTCAACTCCCATGATGCTTTGCGGCGTCAGCGCGGAGCCGACGCGCCCCCTCCTTTGTGTTTTTCCAGCGCCTGCTGCCGGTGTCAGCAGCTCCGCTGTCTCGGACAAACTACACTCCTCTCACTCAGCGCTGAGTTCACTCAGCTGTTTTCTGACGTTGAAGCCCAGAAACGGAGATTCTAGCCGCTCAGTAATGTGTTCACGACTGAAAGAGAAAGTTTTCCAACTAACGTCCAGACAGAGCTGATATAACTCCAGCGAGCAGCGACACGCTCAAACCAGCACGACTCTGTGGTTGTGTTTCCTCCCCGACACACAACAACGTGGTCAAGCTGCTCAGACATGTTCAGCAGCACAAACCTATGTGAGCACCTGTTGTCATCTAATGTTGTCATTATTATGATGAAGATGAACAAAACAACAGGAGTCTCCTCCTCAGCTCAGATCAACCCCATGATGCAGGTATCTGGCTGGAACAGGTGAGCATCACAGTAAACCAGTGGAGCAAACTGAGCTTTAAATATGTTGGTTTGATGCTCTTTTTCTGCTCCAAAACATGAAAGTTAACAGGTGAGATGTTGCATTTTCATTTAAGATAAAATGATATTTTTATTTTGTTGTTGGCCCGTGAGAAAAGATTTAACCTACAGTAAACAGGAAGTGGAAAGGCTGCAGATAGATGAATAGAATAGAAAATCCCTTTATTGTTCCTCAGTGGGGAAAGCTAGACGTCACAGCAGCGATGACACGTATTACAGGAGAAAAAAAGGAGAATAAAAAATAAGAAAAATGAATAAACAACAAGAAAACATAAATCCTGAATAGATTTTAAAAATGCTGATTATACCACAAGTAATGAATACCACTGATGCCTTTTATTTAAAACTGACTTGCTCGTGTGTAATTTGGTTATTCCACATTCAGTGTTAATGCAGAAATATGTTTGTTTCCAAATTTAAATGTTCAAAATTGCATTTATGTTGATAAAGAAAATGTGCAAATTTACCGTCACTTTTTCAAAAAATATTAAGTTTGGCCCTCGACTCCGTCCCAGAGTTTCATTTCGGCCCCGTGTGAGTTTGAGTTTCACACCACTGTATTAGTACAAACTTTATTTGTTCAGTGTTTTTATAATTATTGCAATTTGTATTTCCTTCCCTTCTGTTTTTGTCCCACATGATGCACTGTAATTACAGTCAGCTTGTGCAGCAGCACAATGAAACCTGTGCAAATGTTGTGTTTCTATTATATTTGAGTCTGCAGCACCACTCAGGCACTTCTCCGTCTGTTCCTCGGAGCACAGGAGCAGCCAGGCATCTGCAGCAGAGCAGCCAACTACTTACCAGCTAATTAAACTCAATCAATCATAAAAATCTACTCAATTATTCAGCCACTGGAATGGTTTTCACATGCAGGATAAACATGAACGGCAGACATAATCCCAAACCCTATCATCAGATGACCAATAATCCCTCTCATTCAGGCGCAGTTCATTTTCCTTCCTACAAATCTAATAGTTTCTGTTTGCAACTCAAGGAGCAAAATTCAACAAAACACTTTAGCAGTGCCAACACACCTGGATCCATCTGCTGTCTCTCTCTGTGCAACTGTGCTGACAGCTGGGGAAAAGTCAGACTGATAAAACTGACACAGACTAATGTGTTCCTCCGTCTCCGGGGTGATTCTCTCTGGTTGCCATGGAGACTGAAGGCAGGAAGCGAGCGGGAAGATGGGATGTGACTCAGACCTTCAACATGCCAGTTGGACGATTTTAGGATTTGACAGAATGCCGACAAGAAAACAGGAAACACGTCTTTGAGGTTAAAATTCTCATCAAGATTATGAAAATTGTTTAATCCGTTAGATTTAGTTTAATAAAAGCACAGCTGGGGTTATGACATCACTCATATCCACATTTAGGATATTTACGCTGAACAATGTTAGAAAAACATTGCAATTAACACCTTTCTCTATTCATTCTGCGTTTCTGTTACGATCATCCAAACCAGCTGTGAGGTATAATAGGTGCTTATTTTCTTTTGCTGCCATTCTGCTTCACAAGAAACTCATCTAATTTTACTAATGCCAGTTGTTTTGGATAGCGTCTGCTGATGTCATTTCCTACTGAGTTACAACCAGTAAGCCATGGGTTAACCAAAAGTTCCGCTCAGCTACTCCACCGGGCCATTCCGAGTACCTACCCCTGATCAGGTACGCCAAACGCTCCTGAAAATGGCCCGGTAAATGGTTCGTTTGGCCGGTCCAGCGAAATGGCGACACGCTGGGAAGTTCCAGTAAAATGACCCTGAAGTTCTAACAAGGGAAATGCGCCTTTAGATGCAGCACTAAATGAATAATGTTGATGGCTGCAGTCATATGGGCACCAACTGCAAAGTAATACAATTCAAAAATGAAAAGCTCAGGTATTTTACCACATTTATCTTTAAATGATTTATCCAACCGTTAAAATTCAAAAATAAATTAGGTGGCTTAAAAATATTTAGCTAACATAGAAACTCAGACCATAGCATCCCACCAAAATAAAAGCAGAGTACAGAGATCCTCTGTCTACGGCCTTGCAGAGTCCCTTCGACGGTTGGACTGTGCGAATACTGTACAGGCCAAAAGTTTGGACACACCTTCTCAATCAATGTTTTCTTTATCTTCATGACCATTTACATGGGAGATTCTCACTGAAGGCGTCAAAACTATGAACACACGTAGAGTTATGCACCGAACCAAAAACGGTGAAATAACTATCTTATGTTTTATTTTCTTCAAAATAGCCACCCTTTGCTCTGATTACTGCTTTGCACACTCTTGCCATTCTCTTGATGAGCTTCAAGAGGTAGTCCTTCATGACCATTTCAGTTGACTACCTGTTAAAATGTAGCAACCTTGTTTAATACATTTTATGGTCGAATATTTACAACAACAAAAGTACATCATAAAGTTTTCCAGACTGGGCTTTTCCCCCCAATGTGCCAGAATGCTGATAACGCCTCTGGTTCATCGCCGGACTCAGTGGCGGCTCCAGAATGTTTTTCTGCAGGTGCTATGAATGAAGTGGTCATGCGTACCTATTGTTCTCTAAAACACCTTCAACACTAGCAGATACACATGCGTGCACAACACCTCAACAACACCTGAAACAATCATTAATATACATCATAAACATATGAACAATTACTGACTTTTCCATGAAGTCATAAACGCATACAGCCACACAGAAAACCATCTATAGTGTTGCAAGATTAGCTAACGTTAGCGTTAGCATTTCCAGCCAAAACCAACCCTGGACTGCTGCGGCGGTTGAGGGTTGACTCTCTTCATCCAGATCCGTAGGTGTTTGTGGGTCTGAGATCACTTCCAAACATTCATTCGTTTCTGACTGAACCCGTGGAAACGTGGGCAACAAACACCGATCCATTTTACCACTAGCTCTACCTTTCACTCGTTCACAGGTGGAAAATGAGGTCAAAGGTTAACATCAATTTCCTGTTTTGGTTTAAGTTTTTACTATCTATATGATAATTTACTGAATATTTTTGTTTTGTGTGTTAAATATTATCACATCCACACGTTCAATTAAAATTAAATTGTAAAAAAAAATCTAATATTTACTTGGGGGTGCAATGACTAATCCAGGGGTAGCTATAGCGCCCTCTAGCGTCGCCACTGTCGCTGGCTGGTTGCACCTGCGTCGCAACCGCGCAGAGCCCGGTTCTGATGGTCGGTTCTAAGTCTGTTTGGACCACTCATCGAGGCTAGCAGGAGGCGACTTCTGAAAATCAACAAGAACCGAGTTTTAATCCGATCAGCAGCACTGATTCAGACTCTGCTGAGCGGCTGTGACGCTGGAAAATAAACGTTTTACTGCCAATTTTAATTAGCTTTCGTGATTAAAACTCAGAAAAGTATTGATTAATAACAAGTATTTACAGACTTGACACCACGTTATGAATAGTTACTAAATAGACCGTGAAGATGACTGGTACAAAGGAGCAGCATCGACGTTTCGTGAGTCATTAAAACCGGGCTCGTGAGGAGACAATAATAAACAAATCCTACCGAGTCGCACGGCCGCAGCTCCCCGCGGGCCGACGCTGATGCGGTGTGAGCGGTGATGAGGAGGAGAACAAGGCAGCGGGAGAACCAGGAGGGGCACGCCGGCTCCCACATCCTCAGCTCGGTTCACAAGCCGCAGAAGCTCCGCCGCCCGGAACCATGAACATGAAACAGGCCGAACGTGTGCTGTCCCTGTGAAGCGCCCGTCGGCTCTCCTCCTCGCGACAACACGGTACCATTTCCGGGTTGGTTTTAAAAATAAAACGTAAAAATAAGAAGTTGCTGGATAATTAGTGCAATATTATTAACACACACACCCCAAAAAAAACGGAACAGGAAAACGTCATTAATATGAAAGTCACAGACAATAAAAAGCAATCATTTGACGCTCCATGCATTTCTTTTGAAAGTGCTGCTTCCTGTAGCAGTCTCATTAATCTGGGTACTTTTTGTCATCTCAGCCTTGAACATAATAATTCTATTAACAGTGTGTAAATAGCAGTTAATTTAAATTTCTTAAAAAATCCTAATTATCACCACGTTGTACAAATACATTATAATTAAAACGTATTTATTTGTTTAGGCTCTTACTTCCTGGAATATCAAAATGAAATTTTACTAAGGTCTCTACTTAATGAAAAAATATTTCAATTTGAAGGGTCTAAAGTGCCTAGAACAATTCACCTGTGGAAATCTCCACCATTCACTCACACAGAAAACAAAGTTCTAATAAAAAGTGAAGCAAAACTACAATTATACTATTTTCTATATTTAACCTAAATTGACATTAATAAAATTATTCACAGTGCCTAAATGATTCAAAACTAAATAAATTCAGTCTTAAAGAGTCAAAATAACTTTGAAAACTTTAAAAAGAAAATTAAGGGAAAATCAAGTTAAACAATAAAAAAAGATACAAAAATACTGCACATGATTTTCCTTCTTTTCATTTAAAATTTAAAATAATAGTCATTTCAGAATAAATTTAATATAAATAATTAATCTAGTTCATACGCTGAGTTAAAAATAATTTAAAAGGATTTGTGCTCCATAAAAACTGCATGAGTTTTGGTGAACTGATGTTACTATTGTTTTAGCATAATTTTTTTCTCATCTTTTATTTTCATTTATTGACATTAAAATAAAAATACAGAACTAAAATTGCTACAGGCCAAAATGAAAAAGGGGACAGAAAGAAGAAAAACTTATGCTGTCTGCCCCTTTTAACTAAAATAACAGTAATACAAATGAAACAATCATATGATTCTTAAAAAAATTGAACAATATAGTTCCTGGACTGGTTGGCTGACACAATCTAAACCCATGAATGGAAAAAAGAGAGAAAAGTTACACAGAAAGAAGCATAAGCCTATATACATACATATATACACATATGAATACATAGACTTGTTTCCTTTTTTCTTTCATCCCCCATCCCCCCTCCACTCACACATTTATGTAACAGATCTATACGAGTTCATCATTTCATTTTTTTTATCTCTTTTTTGAAAGTCAATATTGTTTTTGCATTCTTGATTTCAGTATTTAATTTATTCCACAACTTAACTTCATATATGGACACACAATGTTCCTTTATGAGTATCCGATGTCTAGGTAAATTAAATAATTCATGTCCTTTTAAATCATATTTGCTTTGTCTTTTTGTAAATATTTTTGATTAATCCTGCAGGTACGTTCCTTTTGTTTGCATTATACATACATTTTAAAATATTGTAGTCCACCAGATCGTAGAATTTTAGTGTTTTAATTTAATAAATAATGGATTGGACGGATCTCTGTAGTTGCTCCTTGTGATTATTCTTATTGCTTTTTTCTGTAAGATGTAAATGGAACTTGTGTAAGTTTTATATGTTGTTCCCCAGATTTCAATGCAGTAGTTCAGGTATGGTATGATCAGTGAGTTATATAACAAATATAGTGAATTATTATCAAGCAACCCTTTTGCTCTACGTAACAGTGCAGTAGTTTTAGATATTTTAGTTTTGACACTGTTTATATGCAGCTTCCAAGACATTTTTTCATCAATGATGACTCCCAGATACTTGACTTCTTTAACTCTTTTAATATTAATCTCATCTATATTTAATAAAATTTCATCATTTGAATTTGTATGACTAAATATCATAAAACATGATTTATCACTGTTTAATGATAGTTTGTTTCCATCAAACCATAGTTTAATTTTTTTCATCTCTGTTTGTACCACTTCTATCATCTGCTCAACATTATCTCCTGAATAGTAAAAAGTTGTATCATCTGCAAATAAGGTGTATTTTAATATATAGGATGGCTCAACAATGTCATTTATATAAATGATAAATAGTTTATGGCCCAATACCAACCCTTGTGGTACACCACAAATAATGTTGTTTATATGTTATTTTGTGTTGTTTATGTGAACATATTGCTGCTTATCGGTAAGATAACTTGTTATCCATTTTAGGGCCATCCCTGTGATGCCATATTTACTAAGAATTTTATGATCCACTGTAACAAATGCTTTTTTTTAAATCAGTAAAGATACTTATGAGATGAGTTTTTTTGTCACTGGCTTCTGATATTTCTTCTGTTAATTCCATTAACGCCATGGATGTTGAATGATTTGTTCTAAAACCATACTGACTGTCATTTAATATCTCTTCTTTGATCAGGAATTTGGTCCAACCTAGCAATATATAATTAATCTAATATTTTTGAGAATTGTGACAATAAAGATATTGGTCTGTAGTTGGAAAATATATGTTTGTCTCCACTTTTATGAAGTGGTATGACTTTTGCAATTTTCATCCTGTTAGGAAATGTCCCTGTTGCAAAAGATAAATTACATATGTAAGTCAATGGATGAATAATACTTTCTATTATATTTTTTATTAATGTTATGTCTAAACCGTCACGGTCAGTACTTCTTTTATTGATGCATTTATTGATAATATTTCTTATTTCATCACTAGTTACTGGACTTAAATATATACTGTTTTTATTGCTTTTGATATTCTCACCTGTACTATAATTAGTTCTTTTTGGAATGTTTTTAGCCAAGTCAGGTCCCACATTAGTAAAAAAAAAACTGTTAAATTCATTTACTATTTTACTGGTTTCACAAATTTCAGACCGTCCGTTTTCAAAATAATTCGGAACAGTTGAAGCTATTTTATTTCTTAACCTTAAATATTATAGGTTTACTTGAGTAATTTTATGTATATATATATATATATATATATATATATATATATATATATATATATATATATATATATATATATATATATATAATTTTTATATTTTGTGCACAAAATAAAACAAAATTATAGTATATATATATATATATATATATATATATATATATATATATATATATATATATATATATATATATATATATATATATATTTCCGGGAAATGAAATAAAATAGTTTTTAAAATGAATCCGATTAGACGCCATTCTAGGACTGACCTGCAGGTGGCAGTAGGGCGGATGAGCAGCTCGACTCAACCGTATTTACACGAAGAAGCGCAGAATCAAAACACTGGAAATTTGACAGCCCGTTCCCACAAGGGTCTTGTGAAATTCTTGTTAAAAGAGCCGCTACCAAGGTCTAAAATAAACTGCAACATGCAGTTGACATATTTATAAACTAGATCCACATTTCGACCGAACTGTCGAGGAATGCTAACCCGAGGAAAGAGCCGCTTTGGCGGGTTTGTCGGTGCAGCAGCTTGTTAGCTGATTAGCTTCTCTGGATGAGAGGAGCAGCTCCGTTTGGATCTATGGGCTGAACATGACCATATATAGCCCGGCCACGGAGCTCCTGCGCTGCTGAACTGTAAAGTCTTTCTGGAAGCTGTCTCCAACATGTCCTCAGACCAAATCGCCATCGTGGTGGACGACAGGACCTACGAGGTGAACAAAAATAAGTTGATCGAGAAAAGCGATTATTTCCGAGCGCTTTACAACTCCGGGATGAGGGAGTCTACTGAGGACTCTGTGCAGCTCCAGGGGCTCAGCGTTACGGGCCTGGAGCTGGTTCTGGAGTTCATCAACACCTCCAAAGTCCAGGTGGTCAATGAGACCCTGGAAGATCTGATAGAGACCGCCTCCTTTCTACAAGTCACCTCCATCCTCAAGCTGCTGACCTCAGAGATCCGGCTGGACAACTGCGTGGAGCTCTACAGCCTCTCTGAAGTCTACGGTACTCATGACCTGCGAACCGCCTGTCTGAAGTACATGAGCTGCTACTATCACCCCATGCTGAGGCGGCCTGAGTTCAGTAGCCTGCTTTCCGCTGTCAGGGACCAGGTCAAAGAGATGCGCATGAAAGGGACCGCCACCCTGGTGGCCATCGGAGACTTCACCTGTCTGTCGCTGGACGGTCCTGATCAGGACGAGCCCTGGTCCATGCTGAGGTATGGAGAGGTGGAGCAGCGCTGGAAACCACTGGCCAACAACCTGCCACCAGACATGGTTAACGTGAGAGGGTATGGGTCTGCTGTCCTGGACAACTACCTGTTCATAGTGGGGGGGTACAGGACGACCAGTCAGGAGATCTCTGCTGTGCACTGCTACAACCCCTGCAGGAACGAGTGGAACCAGGTGGCTCCGCTCAATCAGAAGAGGTACATTTTCCTCCCACAGTCCCCGACTGTTGTTTCTGCCCTGTTTCATTCACCCTCTGTGTCATCTCATCCAGGTCCAACTTCAAGCTGCTGGCAGTGCAAGGGAAGCTGTTTGCCGTGGGAGGCCAGTGTCTCGGCACTGTGGAGTGTTACAGTCCAGAACAGGACTGGTGGACGTGTGTGTCTTCGATGCCTGACCCGCTGGCTGAGTTCTCGGCCTGTGAGTGCCGGGGTTTGATCTACGTCATGGGTGGATACACTGCCAGAGGTGGGAAGCTTAGTGTCGCCTGCTGAATGTTGTCACGTACTCCTGAAACAGCGAATGAATGAAAGAAAGTATGAAAATTGTGTCACTCATCTGCAGTATCCAAAGTAATTTTGTAAGTCTAATCAATTAAAGTAGAAACACTTCAAATGGCATGTAGTTGTAGAGCGCCCTCCTGGGGTCCCCCCCCCCCCAACCCCCCAGGCACTTTACAACACAATCACACGCTGGTGATGAGGAGCCACAGCTGCCCCGGGGCGAGCTGACAGAGGCGAGGCCTGCCAAACACAGGCGCCACCGGCCCCTCCGACCACCACCAGCAGCAAGGCAGGTTAAGTGTCTTGCCCAAGGACACAACAGCAGCATTCTCTAGTGGGAGCTGGGATCAAACTGGCAACCTTCCGTTTACTGAACAACCTCCTGAGCTACTGCTGACACGAGGTTGTGGCTGAATTAATATCACTTTGTACGTCTTTGTCAGTAATGACCCTAAAATAGGTTGCAGGTATATTTATATTTGACGGCTCTTGGAGCGTTAATCTGTCAGAACTCGGCCTGAAAAGATCAATCAATCAATCAAATTTTATTTGTAGAGCACCTTCCACAACGTTATCGGAAGCCCAAGGTGCTGAACAGCATCATCATAAGAAAAACATTCCCAGTACATGGGCATAAAAGCAAGATAAAATCATAAAATCATAAAATATCAAGCAAGCACTATTACAAATAAAGAGAGATAACGGAAATAAGACGAATCGATCAAAAACAAATGGTGGACAAAATAAAATCAAGCATCGGGGTTAAAAAGAAGAAGAATTAAAACCATAATGTCAGGGCAATTCAATGAACCCTAGCGCTAAAATGCAATCAGATAAAAATGAGTCTTTAAACGAGACTTAAAACGTGAAGGGATGGTGCCTGCCTAATGCTCAGTGGCAATTCGTTCCACAGAGTTGGAGCCAGAACAGAAAAAGCACGACAACCCCTCGATCGATATTTCGACCGGGGGACCACCAGAAGTTCCTGCTCGGCTGAGCCAAGAGACCGAGACGGAGCACACCTCTGCAAAAGTGCAGCAATGTATGAGGGGGCACTGCCCTGGAGGGCCTTATAAACGAGAGTTAAGATTTTAAACTTAGCTCGATATTGCACTGGGAGCCAGTGCAGAGCAGTCAGCACCGGGGTAATGTGCTCTCGACATCTAGTACCTGTCAGGAACCTAGCCACAGAGTTCTGCACAAACTGGAGCCGTGCAACCGTGCACTGGGCCAGACCAGAATACAGAGCGTTGCAGTAGTCCAGCCGGGACAGGACGAAGGCATGCAACACAGACTCCAGATGAGCTCTGGACAGCAGAGGCCTGATCCTGGATAGTCTTTTCAGGTTAAAGAAACAGGACCTCACCGCTGTATTTACATGAGTGTCAAGATTAAGTGAGGAGTCCATTTTAATCCCCAAATTACTGACCATTTTCTTTTCATAGGGGGTCAATGGGTCAACGTCAATATCAGCACCAGAGCTATTTCTTCTGCAGGACTAAGTATTATGACTTCCGTTTTGCTCTCATGGCCTGTAAAGATGTTCAAGAATTAAAAATGTCATTTTTCATAGTTATTAATTTAATTTTAATGTCGGACGGCTGTGTTTGATATAGGGATTATTAGATTTTAAAGGATTTATGTGGTGACAGTTTAATATCTCACAGTAAACCCTCTTCAGTGGCCTCCTTAAGCAGGATACCGTCATCTTGTACTAAAAGTGGCATCTTTCTGTGTTGGACAGACAGGAACACCAACGTTCTGCGCTACTGCCCCACGTCCGACTCCTGGGCTGTGCTCCGGACCTGCTCGGCTCACATCCGTAAGCAGCAGATGCTCTCGGTGGAAGACACCATCTACCTGGTGGGCGGCTACACCCACAAGCTGCAGGTGGGCCGGCGGCAGTGGCGTCCCAGCCAGCCAGAGGACGCTCTGACGGTGCAGTCCTACAACGTCACCACGGGGGAGTGGATCCAGCTGAAGGAGAACACGTCTAAGTCGGGCCTGAACCTGACGTGCACGCTGCACAACGACGGCATCTACATCATGAGCCGCGACGTGAGCCTGCCCACCAGCCTGGAACACCGCGTCTTTCTGAAATACAACATATTCTCCGATGGCTGGGAGGCCTTCCGGTGCTTCCCTGCTTTGGGACAGAACATGCTGCTCTGTTCGCTTTACCTCCCCAACACGCTGTGACCGACCTGCCTGTTGCTGCTCTAACTGGGGCCGTCACGTCAGCAGGAACAGGGTCGCGGAACCCGCACGCCTCCAAACAAACACCCTGCGTTTTACACTCTGCTGTGAATGTGGATGCAGATTAAGGAGCCGTGGAAGCGGCGAAGCGCTTTGGGCCAACAGCAGGTTTCAGTTTGTGCACCTGGAGCTAACGACAAAGTTGCACTCGTGTCTTCGAGACTCGCCACCCGGAACGCGTCTTTTAGAAAATCCTTTCCAGAAACCTCAGAGAAGCTTAACCACCCGGATGCAAAGATTTAAAGAGAAGCCAGCTTTTGTCCAGAGGGTCACTGGAGTGTTTGAGCTTTCTTTAACTGGTCTGAGCAGCTCGAAGAGGAACATTCTTGATTTATACTTGAGCAGCACAAACAAGAACAGCCTAACTGCCTGCCTGCTTTTAAAGGGCCTAAACATTCCCGATGTTTACACTCCAAACACAGCAGTAATGCGCATGTTTATCCTTTAATCACTACAGACCTCAAAGTCTCTCAGAAACAAACAGCTTCGTGTTTTCAGGCGTTGCACAGGTCACATCATCGAGTGACTGGTTTGAGTTTACGCTGACACGTTTGTGGGAAGTGGAAGATACCGACTCACGGGGACCTCCGAGTCTTTATTTTTCAGATATAATAAAGTTAAAAGCACAATTCTGTCAACTGAACAATGCTCACGTGCCTTCTGCAGCCTCAGTGTTTAGGAGCAACTGACCAAAACTGATGTTTTTTTTTTGCTAAAATGTTGTTTTTACTGATATTAGTTTTGTTTGTGAAAAGAAAATTGAGCGGAAATGAACCGTGGAGTGACCTAAAGCTGTGAGTATTTAGGTTTGAAGTGATGGACTTGAGTTTGTTTTGGCTGGAGATGGAGGGGATGGCAATAAAGACGATGCTCAGAGACCTGGTTTGATGTTTTCAGTGTTTATAACATTTATATAGAAAATACAGCGTTTCATTTGCATGAGTTTCTGTAGGTTATGCATAAATATAAAAACTAAGTTGTTAAAGTGTTGTTTCATTAAAATATGAAAAAAATTATGTAAACGTATTTAAAAAAATATTTCTGAACAGATTTTAGTAATATTAATTTAAAGGGATTTACGGAGTTTTGAATTTTTATGCTCGCGACTGCCCCCTCAGGCCAAAAGCGTAACAGCAGCTTCAATAGTAGGCTCGTGCACGAGGCACTCATGCTGTACGTGCACACCCCTTAACGAAAATAACAGCTGAGACAGTCCCGTGTGTGTGTGTGTGTGTGTGTGTGTGTGTGTGTGTGTGTGTGTGTGTGTGTGTGTGTGTGTGTGTGTGTGTGTGCGTGCGTGGCCCGGAGGACAGAGGACAGGAGAACGCGCAGCTAATTAATTAAATAATGTGGTTCTGTAGCTTTCTCTTCAGCACAGCCGACAAAGGTTTATGATGGGTCAGTCCTCCTGCATGCTCAGATCATTCCCTTCCCTTGCTTGAAAAATTGTTCCAAAATGAAAGTTGAACCCACATCTTTTTTATCTGTGAATTCAATGCCGTTCGGCGAGTCTCAAACAAAAATTTGGGCATCTTACTGTAAAAAAATATACCATTAATGTAAAAAATAAACTCTAAATAAACTATGTTCACACCCAGAATCAAACCCAGGTCTTCTGCATGAGAGTCAGACATCTTACTAGGTGAGCTAAAGCACCAGTGATGTCCTTCGTATCTGTAACATATATATCCTTGATGACAGCTGAAACAACGTTCAAAGAACGGTTCGGAGTGAAAATGGCTATTTTGTTGCTAATTTGCAGGAAATATCTAGAAGAAAGTTCTACAGAAAGTAGCTAAGGGTCCTCAGAAATGTAGCTAGCTTTGTCACTAGGCGTTAGGAACAGCGACAAAGTGGCACTGCCTCTCTCTCTGCTGCTAAAGCTACGGATAGCAAATGCTACGGGCGATGCCTGAGCGTGAACGCGCATGAAGCAGCCTGCTCGACCCGAGCATCTCTCTTTTTCTGTGATTTTACAGAAAAACAGGCAATCCCAGTAAAAATGCCAGGGCTCATTCTACAGGACCAGGGCATTGCAGGAGAATGTATGAAGAAGACATTTATTATTTCTACACATGTTTTGGCTGTCACACTTCCATAATGCACCTTTAAATAAAAAGCCTAACTAATTTAGATTAATTAGATTGGAAAACATGGAAAGTTGCAACATAAAAATCAGAAGTTCCTGTTTTGGTTTCTGGGCGTCTGAGTCTTCCGTAATCTGCATTTAAATTCGAAAAGTTTAAAGTGTTTTTTTCTTCTGTTTGCTTTAAAATATGTTTGTGGTAAATGTGAATAAATGAAATAGGAACAAAGATATGTTAACTTTTAGTTAAAAATGAAAGAAAACATTGACTTTTAGTCTTCATAACATTTTTCACTGCAAGCCTGCTGGAGAGCCCTCGCTAGGATGGATGATGGCGTTGCAAGTCTGCGTACAGAAACGGACGCAGAAGCATAAACTAGGCCAGCAGAGAGACATTGTCTCTCCAGCGTGTCCTGGGTCTTCCTTCGGGTCTCCTCCCAGTTAGACGTGCCCGGAAAACCTCATCAGAGAGGCGTCCAGGAGGCCTCCTAACTAAATGCCCGAGCCACCTTAACTAGCTCCCCTCGATGTGGAGGAGCAGCGGCTCTACTCCAAGTCCCTCCCTGATGACCGAGCTTCTCCCTCCATCTCTTGTCTAAAAAAATGAAGTTTTCATTCAGTACATTAAACATTGTTTTACACCAGTTTAAAAACCTAAATCATGAAAATCATTTATAAATATTTTACAACAGGTTAGAAGGAAATGAAACAATCTTTATTTATTTACTTCTATCCTTTAAGCATATCTAAATTGCATCAATCACTTCATATTTGGCCTTCCTAAAATTATGAAAAAGGGCAAAATTTACCCTTTAAATGGACATTTAGAAAAAACTTTAGAAGTTTTTTTGTTCTTGTTCTTATTTTTATAACACATTTTAGACTTTTACATCATCTAAAAAGTTTCTCGTTTTATCTGCAAATCCAGAATTAAAAAAAATAAATAAAAAGAGACCAAATATATTTCAGTAGCCTGGCAGGCCGTCCTATAAACGTGAGTGTCGGACATTCCTGATGCAGGGTTAATATTTTACAACAATATAGGAAAAAAACCACTAGAGGGCGCCAAACAACCTCACCTGAAACTTTAGTGTCTGACTCCTAAAGTAAATGGTAAATGGCCTGTATTTGATATAGCGCCTTCTAGAGTCCTGGAACCCCCCAAGGCGCTTTACAACACAATCAGTCATTCATCCATTCACACACACATTCACACACTGGTGGGGATGAACTACGATGTAGCCACAGCTGCCCTGGGGCGCACTGACAGAGGCGAGGCTGCCGAGCACTTGCGCCACCGGTCCCTCCGACCACCACCAGCAGGAAATGTGGGTTAAGTGTCTTGCCCAAGGACACAACGACAGCGACAGACTGAGCGGGTCTTGAACCTGCAACCTTCCGATTGCGAGGCGAGCACTTAACTCCTGTGCCACCGTCGCCCCTAGTAGGAATGTTACAAAACACAAAGTTAAAATAAAACGATTTAACAAACACCATTGACCACCAGAGGCGACCTGGGTATCTGGTGAAGATGGCTTCTGGATGTCTCACACGCGAGGAGTTTAGAACCACCAAGGCGCCTCGTCAGAACCAGGACTCCCTGTAGAGCTCGTGTCTTGTGTGGCTCTCTGAGTACTCTGGTTTCTTCCCTTTGACCAAATATATTCATACTAATCAGGGATTGTAACTGTCTCTAGCTATGTGTGTGTGTGTGCATGAACAGGTGTCTTTGTCCATCCAAGGTGACTGTCTCATACCCGGTGACTTCTGGAGACAAACACCAGCTCCCCTTTAACCCTTAGCAGGAACAAATGAGCACAGGAGAGTGATTAATGGCATGTTTCCCCTCTTGCATTTCCCTTTTATCCCCTAAAACATTTACTGGCCTTTCGTTCGTTAGATTTCTGTCTCTGTTATACATAATAACTGAATCAGGTGTGTGCGTGAGGGAGGCGGTTTCCTTTCAGTCATGGGAGGAGCCGACAACACAACAATAAAACTGGAAACCTGATTCTCTAAGAATGCACTTTGCTCAATCTGAATTCTAAATGTTGGTCCGGCTATCTGCGTCTTGGGTTTCAGATCTGAATAGTGTAATCTGTGCTGCTAGCATGTTCGTTCAGTTTGGCAGCTGTGTGCGTTGGTACTCTGCTGAATTTGGCTGTGTTTGTCCTCCCGGTATTTATTTAATTCTGGAATTCTGGAACAATCACAGAGGGGATAAAAATGCATCAGTATCAGGGTTCAGATTTCGGGGGAGCTAAGGGGAGCCCGGCTCACCTGAAAATGTGACTCCTTCAACTTACACACCCAGGGGAGCCCGAAAAAAGATCCCACTTATATTACATCATTCATCACCTGCAGGAGGCTGCTGCTCCTCCACCCCACCATCACCTGCTGGACACGACTGCTCCTTCATCCCACCATCACCTGCAGGAGACTGCTGCTCCTCCATCCCGCCATCACCTGCTGGACACGACTGCTCCTCCACCCCACCATCACCTGCTGGGCACAGCTGCTCCTCCATCCCACCATCACCTGCTGGAGGCTGCTGCTCCTCCACCCCACCATCACCTGCAGGAGACGGCTGCTCCTCCACCCCACCATCACCTGCAGGAGACTGCTGCTCCTCCATCCCGCCATCACCTGCTGGACACGACTGCTCCTCCATCCCACCATCACCTGCAGGAGACTGCTGCTCCTCAACCCCACCATCACCTGCTGGGCACAGCTGCTCCTCCACCCTACCATCACCTGCTGGGCACAGCTGCTCCTCCATCCCACCATCACCTGCAGGAGACTGCTGCTCCTCAACCCCACCATCACCTGCTGGGCACAGCTGCTCCTCCACCCTACCATCACCTGCTGGACACGACTGCTCCTCCACCCTACCATCACCTGCTGGACACGACTGCTCCTCCATCCCACCATCACCTGCAGGAGACTGCTGCTCCTCCATCCCGCCATCACCTGCTGGACACGACTGCTCCTCCATCCCACCATCACCTGCTGGGCACAGCTGCTCCTCCACCCTACCATCACCTGCTGGGCACAGCTGCTCCTCCATCCCACCATCACCTGCTGGAGACTGCTGCTCCTCAACCCCACCATCACCTGCTGGACACGACTGCTCCTCCATCCCACCATCACCTGCTGGACACGACTGCTCCTCCATCCCACCATCACCTGCTGGGCACAGCTGCTCCTCCATCCCACCATCACCTGCTGGGCACAGCTGCTCCTCCATCCCACCATCACCTGCTGGACACGACTGCTCCTCCATCCCACCATCACCTGCTGGACACGACTGCTCCTCCATCCTACCATCACCTGCTGGGCACAGCTGCTCCTCCATCCCACCATCACCTGCTGGGCACAGCTGCTCCTCCATCCCACCATCACCTGCTGGGCACAGCTGCTCCTCCATCCTACCATCACCTGCTGGACACAGCTGCTCCTCCACCCCACCATCACCTGCAGGAGACTGCTGCTCCTCCACCCCACCATCACCTGCTGGACACGACTGCTCCTCCACCCCACCATCACCTGCTGGGCACAGCTGCTCCTCCACCCCACCATCACCTGCAGGAGACTGCTGCTCCTCAACCTACCATCACCTGCAGGAGACTGCTGCTCCTCAACCCTACCATCACCTGCTGGACACGACTGCTCCTCCACCCCACCATCACCTGCAGGAGACTGCTGCTCCTTCATCCTACCATCACCTGCTGGACACGACTGCTCCTCCATCCCACCATCACCTGCTGGGCACAGCTGCTCCTTCATCCCA